TTAAAGATGTTCCTGTTGTCTTTCTCATATGGACTTCTGGTTCCAATATCTTGATGCGTCTTTCTCTTTTGAGCCCTTCTTTACTTTATGACACAACACACTGCTCTAGGCTCAGCTGGTATCCTACTGTTCCCACCCTGGAATTAGCCCCTTCAAGAATTAGCAGGGACATTTTGATTCACATATCCACAATATCACCGTCTCATAGAAGCGGCACTGGAGCAACGCCCGGTAGCTTTAAGTAGTATCACTTGCATTTCCTGGATGTGCTGTCATTGTAACGTACTATTTCAATTTGCTCATCGGAGTTGGGATTCAGAGTTCTGAATGTTGCAGCGGACTTGATCTCTAGATTCCTCTTCCGTCATGGTTCCTTATTCCTTGATGTCCTCAGCAACCAGTGGTCTTGCTTTTGACAGGGAACCCTTCACCCTTTTCCCCTTGCCTTCGACCCTCGCCATACCCTGTCATTAGTGGGGTGTGGAGGGATACAGGAACCCCCAGAGGGAGAGGGTGTCCTGTCTCTGCTCTCTGAGCGTCTCTGTCAGTGCCTGACTGTTTCCTCACCTGGTCCCTTTTTGCCTGCTGTCTGTGCTCTCTGGGACACCATGAGGCTTGGGATGGTGAGACCAGCACTTAGTAAACCCCTTGACACTGGGCGCTGTGTGAGCACTGCATAGGGATTGGCTCATGCAGTGTAGTTGAAATAGGGAGCCAGGCATGTGCCCCTGCCCAGTGTCCCAGGACGCTTGTACAGGGCCATGCTCCCATACCCCGTGAATAGACACTACAGAGTCCTGAGGGGCAGAACCCACTCTGCTTCTAGCAGAAGAGGCGAACCCAAGGCCAGGCCAGGAGGGGTTGGGGGGTGGAGTGGGAGAGCACAGCAGCCACAACTGATAGCCACGAGCATCGTCATTAGGGTTGAGTGTCTCAGTCTCTCCCAGGGTACCTGCTGGCCACACCGCTGCCGCGTGTGGCAGACAAGACAGGTGGCAGCTTGGGCCAGCCAGACAGAGAAGAAAGGAAGCCAGAGACAGACAGCATGAGCAGCCCATAAATATTTCTAGCCACAGCCAACATGTCTTACTGGGCAATTTACTTTTTAAAAAATTGCACGCTAATTTTAAGTGAACAGCCCCTAATTACAGTGATTTACACGGTACCTGGGGACTGGGTGATATTTGAATGTGGCAGAGTACTGAGCAGAGATTGATCAGCAGCATAACTCATTCGCTGCATCCCAATGATGCTGCTGTGGCCTCGAGATGCAACTCAGTGAGATCGTATCCCTTCCATTGTGAAGGAGGAGGAGGGAAACTGAGTCAGGGGAGTGCAGGCTGAGGGCTCTGGTGGGCGCAGCTTGTCTGCAGGGACTGGTGTGGTGCCCACACTTGCCTGTGCCTTCATTTGGAGTTTGAGATGAGAATAGCACTGGGCACTCCACCTGCCCCAACCTAGAGGCCAGGACTGCATGTGTCAGAGGTCCTGGTTCCTTCAGAACTACCTGGGGCTGGCACAGAGGAGGCCTGTGGGAACCGTGGATGGGCCAGGGAGCTGAGGGCATCCGTTGGCAAGAGGCTCTGCCTGTCCATGAAGCACAGCCGCCGCAGTGCTGAAGATGGAAGGACGCATCTGTTTCAAATAGAGGACGGCCAGGCCCCCAAGCCTGGCCAGCATCTGGGAGGGACCCGGGAAGGAGGGTGCCCCGGGAACAGCTGTCCTGAAGTCCACACCATGGGAGGGGTCGGAGGGCCAGCCCTGAAGACTTTTCTCCTGCATGCTCCCAGCCTCGCCGGTCCTCTGCCTGGCATCCCCCTCCTGACAGCTGCAGGAGAATCAGCCCCTCTGACATTTAGGGGAAATTCAGAATCAAGAGCAGAAGGCAGAAGTGGAAGGATTTTCTTGGTAAAAGGTCAGAGTGGTTTCTCTTATTTTTGTTTAAAAACGGTTTGTGTTGAACTCTGACAAGGCCAAATGTATCAGCGGCAGCAGGAACAAGCAGAGGGCGGGGGTCGGCCGAGTGAGAAAACAGAGCAAGATGCTGGAACAAACCAGACAGGCGGCAGCTCGGGGCCACCAGTCTGGGCCGCACACTCTGTAGGCAGGAGGGTAGGTGGGACGTGGCATGGAGGGGCACAGATAGCACATGAACCTAGTGTGGAGGGGCTGCCCCTCACGCCCCACGTTCCCTCTCACCTGGGGAGGGTGCAGGTCCCCACCTTCAGGCTGGGCCAGGCTTGGGTGCACACGGGTGGGCGGGCAGCCACGGGGCAGGGGGAACTTCTACCAGCTCTGTCCTGAGATCTCGTTCCCTTGCCATGCAGCTTGCCGTCCAAGTCTGTGACTTGGTTCTTTTCAGCATGTTCACAGAGCGGGCCCCTGTCACCACCAGCTAATTGTAGAACATTTCATCACCCCACCAAGAAACCCAGCCCTGGCCCCTGCCCCGGCGAACATTGATCAGATTGTTTCAGGAGGTACTGACAGCTTCATGGAGCAGAATCATGCACATGGGGTCTTCTGTGCGGCTGGGCATATTTTCAGGGTCGCTCTGTGTACGGCATGTGTCAGGATCTCATTCCTCTTTGCAGCTGAAGGATGTGCTGTTGGTGGGTAAACCTCCTCTTGTTTACCCACCCTCTTGGGTAAATCCTTCCACTTCTGCCTTCTGCTTTGCTGCTCTTTTTGATGGTCGCTAGTAGAACCACATTGTCACGGACATGTATGTCTGTGTGGATATGTGGACCCTGGGAACACAGCTGGGAGTGAGCTGCTGGAACACACAGCGACCCTGTGGTTGGCTCCAGGAGGGGCTGCCAACCGTGCCCCACGGTGGCTGCATCAGCAGCAGAGGCCCCTTCCCACCGAGTCTGTTCCGGCTGTTTTTACGATGATTGTGCTGATGGGCATGGCGGGTCTTGCGGAGGCTTTTCATTTTCCTGGTGACTAGTGCCTTTGCACGTGCTGGTCGGCCAGGTGTGTATCCTTGGAGAAACCTCCTTTCCAACCCTTTAGCCATTTATAATGGGGCCGTTGGCCTTCTTATGACTGAGTTGAAAGAGTTCCAGGCATATTCTGGAGGCATGCCCTTTCTCAGCTACGTGATTTGAGACGGAGCTTTTTGGCGGGCTGGCTTCTGTGTCCTGCCGTAGCTGGGCCCGCCCCTCATGGCCCCATAGGCCTCGCGGGCCTCTGCCCAGCACTTCGGGGCTTTCTTGTGGGCACGAGGGGAATCTTGGCGCAGCAAGTGCCCCCTGAGGCAGAACGGCGAGCAGGCGCGTGGGCAGATTTGGGACCAGTGAGGAGAAACCATGCCTACTCAGCTGTCTGGAGATGGGGAGCAGGGCTCTCCCTGTCACTGGGAGCGTGTTCACCGGTGTGTCCCTGGGGGCGTGTCCCTTCCCACTTGAGGGTGTCCTTGGCGTCAGCCGTGAGTCAAGCCTGAGCCACCTGCTTCTGTGCTGACCTGTGCCAAGTCGGGTGTGGGGGTCAGGGCTGACTCTCGAGGGCCACCACCCCACTTAGCTCCTGACACCTTGGAAATGCCCCCGCTGGCTCGGCCTACCTCGCTGAGCAGGGCCACGGGGCCACAGACTCTGTCTGGGGACACAGCTCCATCTCCCCTGCCCCTGCCCCGCCCACTTGGCACCCCAGCAGGAAGGAGCTCGGAGAGCTTCCCCCGACCCCGGTGGAGCGGCCCTCACAGGTGGCCCTGACCCCACCTGGGCCAGTGGAGACTCGTGGTCCCTCACACTTGGACCGGGCCAGTTAGCAGGTGAGGCCCCAGGTCGGGAGCATTTGGGGACTGCTGGCAGGCAGCTGGGGTGGGGAGCAAGCCTGAGTCCCTGCCCAGACATGCCCATGTGCCCTCTAGCCCCTGCCAGCTTAGGGCCTCTGGCCCCTCCACCCAGCCCGGACTCTGGCTCCCCTACACCCCCAGGACAGTGACGCGACAGCCGGCTCAGACCTGCTGTGGGACCCAAGCTCTGGGACTTCGTTCATAAGGGGCCCTGCCCTGTGTCCCGGCATCTGGAGCTGCAGGCTTGTCTGGAAGCTCCCTGGTCACCAGGCGACAGACCTGGCTGCCTTCCCTGCTCGCTCTTCGCCCAATTACGAGTGACATTCATATAAGAAAGCTATAAAAGGGACCGTTGTGGGCTCCAGAATCCACAGAGCCACAACCAGATCTCCCGCCTGGGTCCCCAGGGCTGCGTGGCACCCCACGCTCCATAGCTCCATAGCTCCATGGCACTGAGCTCGGCCACCTGGGACTCCAGCATCCTCTCTGCACAAGCAGGGAAACTGAGGCTGAGAGGAGCATTACTTACTCAAGGCCCAGGGCCCTCCTCAATCTGGAAGACTTTGTCCTGGGTGAGAGGCATGGGGTCCTCAGCCCCAGGGGAGAGTAACACGGGCCAACCACAGTCCAGCAGGATGGGCCAGTGACCCGATCTGGAGAGCTGGGAGTGGGTGCCCCAGCCCCCAGAGTCCCCATTTCCCAGAGACCCCTCAGTCCTATGCACATACACAGCCCCTCCCCACCCCTCGGACTACCTCCTGGGCAGAGGAGGAAAGAACAAGGCATTGGCAGCCTCCTGGGTCAGGTGAGCCTTCCTAGCAGTGCCTCAGACGGGAAACACCACTCCATTCTGTGTACCATCCAGCCAGGGAGAGATGGGATTTGAACTTGGGTCTGCTGACTGCAAGGGCAGCCCCATCTCTGTCCCCAGCTGCCTCCAGACAGCAGATCCCACGCCCTCCATGCGTCCGGCAAAGCAGCCCAGCTCGGGTGCCCGAGGCCTGGCCTGCCCTGGGCGACCTGGGGCCAGGAGTGTGACAGGGACACATCGGCCTACCTTCGCCCCTACCACCAGGGCCTCCCACCAGACCCGCCCTCCTGACGCCCCTGTCCCTGGAGGGGCCATGGGTGGAGGGAGAGGAGAAGCCTGGCGGGCCAGCCTGCACTGACCACGGTCCTGTCTCTTCCTGCCCCACAGGCCACAGGCCCCTCCGGCTCCAAGATGCACCTGCTGGAGACGGAGTTCTCGCGCACGGTGGCCGAGCTCATCGAGGTGTACCTGCTGCGCCAGGACAGCATCCCTGCCTTCCTCAGCTCCCTCACGCTCGAGCTCTTCAGCCGCCAGACCGTGGCCTAGCCCGCGGCCCCCACTGAGGGCCTCCGGCAGCCGGAGCCTGCTCCCCTCCTGCACAGCCCGGGCTGAGTGCAGGGCCCGCCTCTTCAGCCCCGCTGGGGCGGTGCGATGTGTCCGCACCCTCAGACCCACACGGGCCGTCTGCTCGGGGGCAGCACCATCTCACGCCCCGGGCGCCGCGGTATGCCACTCGGAACCTTCCCGGCAGACCCGCCCCTGTCCTCGGGCACTGAGCTCGCAGCTTGCATCCCCCGAACTCCCCAACCCCAAGCCCCTGTCCTGGGCCTCCCGCCTTCCTTCCCTCTGCAGCTTCCCTGAGAGCCAGCAGCCGGGTGGGGACTGCCCCCTCCACGGGGCTGCGTCTCTGCCCTCCCTGAGGTGTCCCCCGCCAACCACCCCATCCACACAGCACTCAGACCCCCTCCCCCCGGAACCTGGTGGGTTGTGCCACCACCTGAACTCCTCACCTTGTGAAATAAAGTCTTCCCACCACTCCCGGCTCGCAGTGTGTCTGCGGGCCCCGCCCTGCGGCTGGTGCTCGCTCAGGCCCCGCCAGGATGATGGCCTTTGGTCCTGGCCCTGACAGTGTCCGGAAAGAGGGAGTGACAGCCCAGGAGCCGTCTTCCCTGGTCCCCGCTGCCCCCAAAAGGGGCCGGACACACTCGAGGAGGAGGGAGATTTGTCGACACCCGCCTCAGCTAGCCAGGCCTCCCAGAGACTCGGGTTGAGCCCAGGAGCCTGTTCCAGGCCTGGCTGTGCTGTGGCGCACAGGAGGACGCCCTCGGGGGGCCAGACACCCCAGCAGCTGTGTGACCTTGGGCTGCAGCTCACCCTCTCCGAGCCTCCCTCTTTTTCCCTGCAGAGACAGTGCGGTAGGAATAATGACCCTGCCTGACAGTCTCGAGGATTCAGTGGAGGAGTAGGGTCCACGCACTGACTGGGCATTCCCCAGGCCTGGGCACCTGCGGAGCCCGCCCTGCAAGCCCGGTGGGGGAAGATGTCACCGTGTCTGTGAGCTCCGGGGGGAAG